ACTGTATGAGAGTTACCAATTCTTTTATCCTAATTTTCTTTTAATTTTCTTACCTGTTGTTGTTGTTAATGTCATTGTTTAATTGTTATTTTGTACAGCACTTTGGTCAACTCCCTGTTGTTATTAAATGTGCTTTATAAATAAATAAATAAATAAAATGAAATCTTCATATAAACTCTATAATTATAAGTATCCCCCTGATAGCTGCTTATAAATTGTCTTCCACTGTGGTTAAGCTAGCTAGTGGAGCCATGCAATACAAAAGTCACGCAATTCCTTTAAAACTAACTACCAAACTGGACTAATGTTTGCCTTCCTACCTGGTCCTTCTGGTAGATGATGTCCACCAGCAGTCCATGGAGCACAGCCAAACGCAGAGGCAAATCCACATAGCCATCAAAGGATGTCATTGCAATCTCAGTGTCTCCACTCGACACCGTTTGTAGGAAGCCTCTCATTCCATCCCAGTGCTGCTCCAGGAATTCATTCATGAAGAGCATGTACTCCTCCTTTTCCCCGAACCTAAGTAAGAACAACAAATTTAATTTACTTTAGGTATTTATTTCAGGCCCTTTATTGTTATTGTACATGTGCAACAAAAAAATATCTTTATCCATATTCCCAGATTATGTCTTTCAGTATGCCAAAACAAACAAACAAACAAAAGCAAACAATCTGCTCAGGAACAAATGCACAAACGTGACATAAACTACTGACAAGGTGAAGTTGGCCAGATTCTGGATGACTTTGGCTGTCAGCGTAAGGGTACGCAGGGTGTTTGGCTCCGGGTACGGTTGCGTCAGACCAAAAAGGGAAGGACTGAGGATAGCAGGACACAAGAAACGAAGGAAGAGGGAAGCAGAGATGAGCCGATGGCCAATCTCCGGTTTGCCCTGGTCTTCACACACCTCCACCCAGCTGGAGAAGATCCTGTTTAACTCTTCAGGAAAAGGCCTAGTGGAAAGAAGCATGTCAAGTATGAGATCTCTGAATGTGAGAGATGCCCAAATCATTTATTGTATGTTAAGCTGATTTCTCTCACCCATGGAGCTCAATGATCTTCTGCACCACCTCCTCACAGGTTTCCCTCAAGTGCTTCTGGTTGCTTGACAGTTCAGCCGCAGGACATTTACGAGGGTCAACTTCACAGTTCTCGGTTGATGCATATAGACGGTTGATAAATTCTCCTGCATTGAAAAGAAAGCATAGAGTTCAGGAAAACCCAGTACGATTGAATACAAGCAGCCACCTTTACGACTGATCTGCCCTACCTAGTGTGTCGATGAGGTACTTCTGACCAACCAGCTTCATATATTCATCTATAGCTTTAGTGGCCAGTGTGTTCTCTCTGAAGATCATTGCTTCTTTTTCTCCAAGACGCTCCACCTCATCGTTGCCCAAATCAATGAGGAATTCCTAAGGAATAAAAACTTACTTCTGAATATGCTTCTGGTTGTATTTTTGATACATATTGTGAAAAAAGAAAATTCGATTCATAAATTGCATTAAAAATTTTTTACATTTAATCTCATTCTTTACCTTGGCCTTGCCGATGCTCTGGAGTACGTGGACCAGAGCTCCTGCCAGCTCTTCCTTCTCCTTCACATTCAGAAGTGGCTCCAAGTTTCTGCACATTTCTACATAATCCACAGTCACATACTCGGCAAACTCTTTATATTTCTCCATCGGCAGAACTTGCAAGTTCTGGAAACGGGCCTTGATGCGAAGTGAAGCCTGCGGCCCCAGAGCTTCTTTGTTCCCTGCTGAGCCTGACGCCTTATATGGAGTGATGGGGTACCACTTCTCCTGATAGGTCCTCCCTCGAATGTCAGCTAGAGGTATGGTCACGCTTCCCAGAGGGTGTAGACTGAAGTCGTCTCGGGAATGCCGCTTTTTCTTGGGGTCTTCTTCCCTGAAGAGGTGCAGACTGATTTGGGAGATACAAGGCAGGTTGTCGAGCTCAAAGAATTCTCCCCAGAACAGTTGGCACCCTCCAGTCGCACCTCCACTGGCCCCCAGGCCTCCCGAAGACCCAGCGGAGCCATCTGCTGCCAGGCTGGAACGGTTTGGGAGCTTGCCAACAGCTCTGCTGGTCGTGCGGGCGAACAAGGTGCCATCCAGGTGTACCTCACAGTAATAACGCTTTTTGGGTGGCAGATCCTTGGCTTCATTAACCCACAGACTCAGCGAGTTCTCTGTGCGCTCGATGTTGTCCTGTGAATATAATGAATGTTATTAGTAGCACAACACAATTTGAATATTGCGTGACCGGTGGGACCGGCGGCTGAAAGCTCACCTTGTTGGGCTGTGCAGCTCGTCTCAGATCTTCAATCCAGCGGTCACGTTCAGCAGCCGAGGAGCAGCCGAAGCAGTGGGTGTTCTCAGAGTTTATCACCTATAGCACATTGAAACTAACAGTTAGCGGTACTGGAATACTTTACGGTACTCGAATCTATGGGAGTGCCCTTTAAAGTCTACCTCAAAGCAGTACTTCTCCCCCAGAATGGAGCTGTGGACCGGTCTGATGACGGTGCTGGTGTCTGCACTCAGATCTAGTGTCCCCACTGGACTGACTGGAATTGACACAGACTCTCGGGATTCATAGAGCCTTAAAATTAAACACAGTGGAAGAATTCAGTCACAAAAAGGAGATGGAGATTTGTCAAAGGTACTCACAATGTACACTTTCACTACCTGCAGGTTGTTTTGCCATCGACACATTACATTAACACTGTGGTTGTTTTTAAAAAGAACATCTTGCAAAGTTTTATTTGCAACATGTTTGAATTATTCTTTAGTGAGGTTTTATGTGTGTGTAGGTTCTCTCTCAACCAGGTCAACCAGGTCATGCTGAACTCTTTTAAGTTTCCAAAACTTAAAGACGTCCAGTTGCTTTCTTTGCAAGCTTCTTGGACCTTTAGTGAGGTTTACTATGAAACTGATCAGTTAGTCTATTGTTGAAGAAGTGATTAAGAACATGATAGATGAATTATAGGCAGGGTTTTTTGAAGATAAGAGTTTGGCCTTAAATTATGAAAGACAATAAGAGAAGTTACTTTAGACCAAAGGTGGATATGGAGTGCAGTATATCTGCTTTGAAAAACACAGCAGTGCACTTTACCTGCGTCCTTTGTTAAGTCCCTGTTGGTTTAGCTGGGTGTTGCTATTCCTCTTGGCTTTGTTCTCAAGACGTCGCTTGATCAGTCCCTACGGGTGAAGAATGCAAACACAGTGCATTTGAGCAATTATGTGTTGTATCAACAGGAAAAGGAAAACTAGCGCAAAGATTGTCTCTGGCGCATACTGCACTCACCCTCACACCGCCATCTTGAGCCTTTGGTCGAGGACCAAGCTGGCCCCCATGGTCGGGGCTGCATTCTAGGGATTGGGATGAAAATGGAATTCTCTGTCAGTTTTTCATTAGTGTTGGCAGGACAAGTTGGCTTAACTAAATGAAATTATAGGCAGTACTCATTGTTTCCATTTAGAGTTTGTGGTCAGTACTTCTACATATTTCTTCCTTTTTGTGAGTCAGTTGTTTCCAGGCATCAAATCAAATGGTTGGCAGGCTAACTTTAGAGCAGATATTGTGTGCTGGTGAAGCAGGAATAGCACGAATATTAATACAATTAAAATTGGCAAAGTTCCATTACGGTAAGTGACTTCCAGGTCATATGAGAGCACCTGGGGTTAAATAACCTGTGATTTTTTGCTGATATGAAAACAAAGCAGTAAAATAAGTAGTTATGCACACCATCTTATGACTAATTTTCAAGCAGTTAGATGAGTGTTTTTTCACTCATCTAACACAAATAACTTCTACTGAAGACTCTCAAAAACATCAAGCAAAAAGTTTTAATATTTCCAGATGGGTTCAGATGAGCCAGTTCAGGATGTGGTTTATAGCTGTAATCCGATAGCTAGACCTATCTCAGTAAAGTTGCACATATGTCACTAAGTAACACATAGTGTACTGCAGCTTTACATAGAACAAACGTAAATGTTCCCATTTTGATTTTTCCTGTTTTGTGTGAACATTTTAACCTTTAAGTCAGAAAATTGATATCTCTAACTGGAGATCATGATATCCTCTTTTGCTTATTTATACTCAGCGATATTGATGTGTTTAATTACAAGATTACACAGGTGTCCGATTTCCTTTTCGCTGCTTACCCAAATTCCCACCACAAACAATCCAGCGTTTAAATCCTATCATTTAGTCCAGAGGTGTGTGCAAAAGCCCTGTTACTTCAGTCTCTGTGTCTTTATCATTTCCTTTCTGTCGTCTTCAAAAGAGCCGATTGAGTCACCCAGCCAGTCGGTGCAGAATCGAACACCTCCACAGTGCAGCACCTCCACTCTTCTAAGCAAAATATCTAAACTGCATGGATGGAAGATACCGACTATATCATCTCGCTCTGTCTTTCTGCGAGTTTTCATTGGACTGCTAAAACCCTGTCTTGATGCTATCTTCCCCAGAGGGAAAAAAAACACAGAGGAAGCGATCTTACAGACATTGCCACGAACAAACATTTAGCTATTTCCTCTGTGTCTTCTGCGGAAATAGTGCAATAGTCATCGCTGATGTCAGTAACAGTTAAGCTGGGGGGTGTTTGATGATTTTTCTTCATTGCATTTTAATCTGCACATCATTTTGTTTGCTTTGCGTGTGTATACGGACCTGTGTCAATGTCTACAAGGTTCTGCATGCTGAGGTTGGACAAGCAGCTGCTGACACGGTTTCGAGTCCACATTGTTGGCTAAGACGGACACACAAAAACGGGCATTTTTTACTCTCCGTGGTTATGACAACATGATTTGAAATCAGTGTAAATAACATGCTGTTATCTGTGGGTACCTCTTCCTCTGGGGAAATGAGAATCTGCCCATCTTCCAGGCAACAGTTGCTGATGTCCCATAAGGGGACCTCCTGAGGCGGGACCCATTGCAGTCTTGAGAGTTCGCAGGGTCCGGCTGGTGTCGGCACAACCTCATTCAAACCTGCAATTCAAGTAAACGTTGCACAGACAAACACATTTTGATACTGATCAATCATGTAAGGTCAGTATACACATGTAATCACGTGCTAAATATGTGCTGATTTCTCTCACTTTGAAGAACTGACAGTAAATTGTTTATGATGTACAGATACTGTTTAACTGGAGGCGTATGCTGCCGGGCTGGTTTGTTTTTGATTTTTGGTAATAACACTTATCTCACACAGCGATTGGCCACTCCCATTTGAGGTGTTGCCTTGGCCACTGACGCAATTGGTCTCTCTTTTTTATTACACGCCATGAAGGCCTGCGCACATCCTGTGGGCTGTCGTTAGGTTTATTGTGTCTTTTTTTTTTTTTTACTCGATGTCAACATCCATTGTGCTTTTATGTCGTCTTAATGCTTACATTATCTTACTATCAAGTATATGCTGTTCTTGAAACGCCAGCAGAACATAAAGATAATATTGCATCACTAAAATATGCATAAAAGCCCAGGAGAGCAGAACGTGGCAGGAAAGTAATGCTTGTTTTTTAAAGCAATTATATTTTCTTCTTGTTCTTTTTAATAATAAAATATGGTATCTTCTTCATGCAGCCATGCCTCATTTGGCTCACACCTGCATGATCTGTCTGTGTGTGTTGCAGATGTTTCTCTCACTTCCTGTCAGCTGAGATGAAAGACGTCTAGAGAACTTCAGTATAGGTACAACTATTTGAATCTGTCCTGAGGTGGATTGAAGTTTCTGATGTCATTAGACAAATTTTCAGACTTCATTTGTATTAGCTGTCTGAGGACACTCCTTTTTAGTTTCTGCACAAGTACAGGAACGCGTGCAAATCTGACTAGAGTTCATATTTTGTATCTGAACAGCAGGTAGGCTTCTGGTTGGATTTGCCTACCATTTTCATATAAGGGGCACAGACACTTCTGTGTCACAACAACACATTATGTTGCTGTACATTTTTAGCCATGTACCTCTTAGTATGCATTTGTTTCTCAGCGCTGGGGAAGTTGGTTAGTGAATCTAGTTAAGTGTGGGTGCTGGTTTGCAGTTCTTCAGTTACTTTGAATTTCTGGGTCATTTCTCTGCTGTTTTGGCGGTTTTGGTCTCGCAATGATTCATGTCTGAAATGAGATAATGACGATTGTCTGGGTTCTGCTTTTTAGAAGGAGAGAAATCTGTTACCTACAAGGAGAGAGCCCTTAAACATAGACTTGAAGGGCGCAGGGCTTAGATTTTAAGCTTGTCCAATGACTCCACACTTGCCTCACAGATTTACTACTACTACCACTACTGCTGCTACTACTAATGTTTTAATCCCGGCCTATAATACTTACTGTTTGTTTAGAAAATATTCCAACAGTTACAGACTTTCCTTTTGTCTTTGTACTGATCATTTTTTACTGTTTATTTGAGGATGTAAATGTTGCATCTACAAATCTTCTAAAAGAGCTTTCTTGAGGTTAGGGGACTTTAAATAGCCATCAATAGACATCAGATTTGTCACAATATCCGAGGTCACACTATCATTTAGCTTACTGGGTAATGGCTCAAATATCTTTACAACATTTTGTTTAAATTGTTTGCTGATGTTTAAGATATTTTTGGAAGTGTCAAAGTCATTCAGTGGTGTTTGGCTGTATTTAACTCTTTCATCACTTTCATAACCTGTAACATTTCTGAGATCCACTCTTTTACTTGTGATTTATAAATGATTTATATTTATAATGTATTTTAACATAATGTAAGCCTATTTAAATTCTCAGCTTCTCTCTTTAATTATTTCTACGTGTATTTAATACTGAGCCAGATGCTAAAATAGTCTTAATAGTAACATTGCAGATGAAATTTCCAGATGCACTTTTGACAGAGGTCACCCATACCACTCATACTGCTGAGTGTTATTAAATGGTCCTACCTACTTAACAGGAAATCACAAATCGTGTGATCGCAAATAGGAAATAGGAAACATTTTCTGATATTTCACATAATATTTGGATTGAGTAATGACCTTAATGCGCAGGGCTTTGTGTGTACGCTGTACTTTTGTTGTAGTAGTCTTACCTGCAAGGGATGGCGTGCTGTTGCGGGGCTGTAGCTTTGGCTTCTTGAGCTTCTGGGACACACTCCGAAGATATTTTTTAAAAAGTGCCCCTCCGCCCCCTTTCTGTGAGGGGTCACTGGAGGCAGCCCCCGAGGCTTCTGTGCCAGCAGAAGTGGCTGCAGCAGAGGATGAACCTGCGTGAGCCGAATTGGCAGTGGAGAGGGCTGCAAACAGCGACCCAGGAGGCTCGGACAGAGCCCTCCTGAAGGGGTTCTTTCTTGTTCCTCCGGAGGCTTTTTCAGGCTTGGCTGCATCACTGCTTTTCCCATTGGATGAATTCTTTTCTCCGGGGTCCTCGCTCAAGGCCTTGCGCCAGTTTTGCATCTTGCTCCACTTGTTGCTAGAGGCCTTCTGAATTTTTTCCATGGTGGATGTGGAGGATGCCGGCGTTCCTTCTCCTTCTTCTTTCTGCTCATTGAGGGTTCCCTTGGAGCCAGTATGCCACTTGTATGTGTTGAGAGGGTCGCTGGTCTCAGATGTTTGTGGAGGCTCATTTTCCTTCTCAGGTGATCCCTGCTCCTTTGATGCTGGCTGAGCTGCAGGCTCTGGATCTTTCTCCTCAGTGCCCATTTCACACTTTTAGGGTGTAACTAAAATTCTCTCTGTTTTTTAAGGTCGCATCAAAAACCTTCACAAGAGAATTCACCTGTCTCCCTCTTAATTTACCGCCGCTTTGGAGATTGCTGCGTGTGCGAAAGGAAGACAGCGTAGTCTGTATCTCCTCTAACTGTCTGTTTCTCATTTCCTGTCTTGCAAAAACGTTGATCAACAACACGCGACTTAGCTGCTCTGCCTGTGGTTGCTGTGCTGCTGCACTACTCCCATCTCTCTGGGCTGTTGGCTTCCTCATGAAATGACACAGAGAAGTTCAGTGTTTTCATTTAATACTTCCTGTCATCTGTTCTTCCTGTTCTGTCAAAAAAAATAAAACAAATCTGCATTCAATTTGTGTGAAACTCAAAGAAATGTCCACAGATGTTATAATAAAATGTGTGTTTTAGGTTGTCCACCTTGACCTCAAAGGAAGCCTACTTGTCAGATTCAGTCTGTCACATTATGAGCAAGGGAAATGTGGTTTTGCATGTTACAAAGTAGTAGAAATCCATCGTGAGACAATATTAGGCAAGATGTGTAATATGAAGATATTTAATGAATCTAATAAATCACCAGTCCCTATACAGTTAATAAGATTCATTTTCTTGGTAACTTGAATGAAATAAACCACCAAGGACAACATCTTTTTTGTCAAATATACGTGAAAAATATTGTATGGAAGACTCTGGACCCAGTCTTACTTTTTTAGTAAGACCACTAAACTGATATCTGTGAGAAATAAACATAAGTATCCATGTGGTATCAGCTACCTGAGAGTTTACAAGCTGTTGACAGTTAAGAGTCAGTTTCCTGTCAAAGCTACAGGAAACTGACTATGAAAACCACTTCCTGCTCTCATGCTGCTCTTTTCTCGTACACACCTGCAGGGTATTTCTGTGTGCCAGTGGGGTGAACTGCCAGCAATATAGTCAGATGTTGTCTTTCTAATTGTGGGAAGTAATGATGGAGTACAGCAGGACCTTTAGATTTTTCATTGGGAACATTCCTCTAGTTCACTTCTCTAGTTCTTTAAGCTATAAAATACCCGGGAAGTGGTTTTATAGGAATCACATTCACACAGTAACATTAATACAGTATCAACATGCTTATATCTGTGTTTCTATGATAATAATAATAATAATGGATTGGATTGATATAGCGCTTTTCAAGGCACCCAAAGCGCTTTACAATGCCACTATTCATTCACTCTCACATTCACACACTGGTGGAGGCAGCTATGGTTGTAGCCACAGCTGTCCTATAAAGAGCTGAGTGTGTGAAAACACTGAAAGTTACATTTTTGTCTTGTTTCGTCCAGGCCCTCTAGTGGCCGGGGGCATTTGGTATTGAAAATATGCTTTGACTGTGTGCGGTTAAATTTGAAACGTAATCAATGAACACTGACTGCCTCAACATAAAAAAAAATAATTAAAATTAAATGTAAAATTTAAAAGAAAAACTGTAACTGAAGTTTGAGAGTGTTTATAATGTGTGTGCTGTCTTTTAGAACTATAATCAACCTTTAACCTGACACTAGTTTAAAAGTAAAAGGGGTCCATTTAATTTTTAGCCTTTATTTAAAAGGCTAAAAGCTGAATATTTACATTATGTGATAAGAGGCAGTAATCTCAGGTTTATCACTGTGCAGTTGCAAGAACACTTTTTTTTATTAACATTTGAACAACAAGGGCACTGATCTGGACTCAGTGACAACAGAGAGTCTCAGTCAAGGTTGCTCTGTATACGTTAACACTGTTCTTGGCCATAAAAACCCTGAAAACCACGAATACTGATCACAACAGAATTTGAAGTTAAACATTAACAGTACAATGAATCTTTGCTGGTGCTGAAGTATTCTTAAAGCACAACAAAAGAAGTATTTCACAAAGCAGCATGTCTGTACAACTCCTCAAAATGTTGGCAAGAATGATGAATGCTGCAGGAAGTGCTTGTTCTGTTTACAACTCGAGCCAAAAACAGCTATAACATTTATGTGTAAATACTGTATACTTAAGTATACAATAAGTTATTAATATTTAAGATGAATTTACAGTCACAAAATCAGAAAGTATTTAGATTCATTTGTGGAGGTCACAGTGTTTGTCTTCATCTGGTGGTCGATTGATTTACTGCAGAACAGTTTACCTTTTACCTTAACAAGAAAAATGTGGTACAGACAGCAGCGGTTTTTGATATGGACATTGGCCAGCGCTGCGTCGTGGTGGGTCGCATCATGGGCATCGGCAAAAAAAAGTTGCTCGCACCCATGTTGCCCGACATCATGCCAGCACATTTTGTTGATTGCATGGGCACCGATCAGAGCGGGGCGGCCGGGGGTTCTCTGGCTGGCTGAACAGGTGTTGTGCCAAAAACTGATTTTCTAATTTGAAAAACGTGCAGTTTGCAATTGCGCTAAACGGTAAAGACAGGACAGAATTTAATGAAGTGAACAGAAGGAAATCTGTGGAAATCATTTCCTTGCTCCAACCGGATAAGGTAAAAAAAAACAAAAACGAAGGAAACAAAACAAAGTTGAGCATTTAGCATTTTTGGATAAATTACTTTTATTCCTGATAAAATAACCTTCAGTACATTGCTCTATCAAATAATATGTGAAGTCAAATTGTTAATATACTGTATATTGTTAGTGTGACATATCACACATATATTTTTGTCTTATCAGTTGTTGGATTTCATTAGTGAACTGTAGTGCAAAGCATTTAACAGTGACGATTTTAAAATCACATTGCAGAACATTTTGTTATTGTGTCAAAGATTTCTAAAAACCTGACTGCCTTTTCTTTTTAGATGTTGGAGGAAATGGGAGAATTGGATTGCAGGCATTTGAAATTGCCTCTTCTGACCCTGAAAAATCTTGGAAAAATCATCACCCCCTATGTGAAAGATGTTTCACAGGAGTAAGTCACACATTTAAAGCCATCAAGCTTACAAGCAGCAAAAATGATCACTAATACACACATATACTCTGGTTAAATGTTTGTTTTCTCAACTATTTATCTTTTTTTCATCTTTTAGTCAGTGGGCGTCCTTAGCCGATGGTGACCCTGGATCAAAAGTTGTCATTCTGTTGTCCAACATGTGCCATGCTGCGATTATAGAAGAAATTAGCGCCTTGGTCCTGGAGGTTGTAGAGCCTCAGGTTCTTGCCAAGGGGCACAATCATGCATGTGGAGACAAGGTAAGTTTGCAGGATGGGTGCAGCTGCTGCAGAGTAACAGAAAATAATATTCAAGCCAGCTTCAGAAACACCCTTCATCACTGTTTTGGTGAAGCCCTGTCCACGGCACAAGGTAAGTCCCACAACTCGGATATATTAGTAAAGCTGTTTTCAGCAGAAATTACTAAAAGAGTCAACACGTCGCTGGCTCGTATCACAGGGCCAGCTCCTACCCCACAAACCCATGACTCAGTGACAGGTATGAGCATTATGCAAATGGTGTATAATGTGACTGAGATTTTTGAATGCATCTTGAATGTCAGCAGAAAAATCACAGACAAGGCATCTGACAGCATGACATGCTCAGACTCTAACTGTAAGCAGACCTGCTGTCTAGATGTGGAGGAGGAGGAAGATGCAGAAATCCCACAAATAAGTGACTGTTCCTTAGAGAATTCATTGTGCACGGATAATCTGAGTCCTCCTCCAACTCCAGAGCTCCCTAAGTATTCAGAAACATTTGTCCCTTCAGCATTGATTTTAGCCTACCAGGAGAATTCTTCACCAAGTCTGGATGCTGTTAATTTCACAATTATTCTGTTTGTTGTTAATTAAAAAAGTAAATAATAATCTAACAGTTATAGCAGTATTGTGCAAAAGTCTTGAACTACCCCATTTTTTAATAGCAACATAAACACACATACATAGTTACAATGCTATTATGATACATTGTGAGACACCATTGTGATCTGACATTCCATCCTATACTATGACATTGTCTTTGGTGCTCAGCTGAACTGTCAATGGTACATGATTGAGGAATTTATATAAAAATATTTGCGTATAACCCACAGTGGCCTAGGCATTGTTTAGTTAAAGTTTCATCAAGATTGGGCCACTTGTCTTGGAGGAAATAGGGAAGAATTGGACATTTTTCAACAATTTTTCTTAATTTGAAAATAAAAATCAACCCATTATGAACAATATTTATGCTAATAAGATATAATGTACTTTATGTAACTGCCACTGAAGGATGTCAGAGAGGAATACCTCAGGATCTTCCAAACTCCAGGGACGCGTGCCAAAGCTCTGATGAAGATGATGGTATGACAGAGCTCAGACAGCAGTTCTGATAATAAGAATGTCTAATACACCTCTTCCTGCAGACAATGTTCCCTCTAACTCTTCATGTGTCTGAGCAAACACACAAACTCCCTGAGCGGTTGATGGACCTGATGGGCCTGGGTCAGGGCTCATGCATTGTTCTTGGGTTTAATGAATATTATAATTTCTATCTGACTATGTGGATTGTTTATTGTTGTTGTTGGTGTGATCTGCTCCTGGTCCCTTGTTTCCCTGTCTCTGTGTTTGGGTGTGTGTGTTGCGGTGTGTGAGTTTTGCTGCCATACCAGGCCTGGAGAGTCTTCAGCCTTTGAGCCAGCCACACCTGGTGCAATCAGCCACCTGTTGTGGATCGTCAAGGAAACACTACTCAAGAGAGGATCGGAGAGGCAGCCAGCGCAGGATTGTTAGACTAGGAACATAGTCAGTGCTCCTGCTCACAGTTACTGTAGTCGCTGAACTTCTCCTGTTGGAATGGTGAAAGTGTTTTTGTCAGCCGGTGGATGGGACGGTACTCACTGTGGACTCTCTCGTTTCCAGGTGGATTGTGGAAACCTGTGGCAGGAGCAGCACACTGTTGTACAAAGGCACCGAGGAGGACTAAACACTTACCACAGATCACGGCACGGGGATTAAGAACGAGCGCTCAGAGAACACAGATGCTGTGGATTGTTGGCACTGTTTTATAGTTTCTTTTCATTGTAAATAAACGCACCATCTCCATTCAGAAAGTCCTGCATTTGGGTCCTACTTTCCTGTGACAGGACCACTGTGAGCAACATCACACGTGTGCACTGTGGTCACGCCAGCATCGTATCCAAGTTACATAGTTTATCAAAAGAATCAAAGTACAGCATTTACATTTCTGTTAGAATGTTTTAATTAAGTTCTTTAGCCCACTGACAATGAAAATGACAAAGGTCTTCTTCATGACCTGTAGTATGTTAATGCTATTGGAAGTATAAATATTTAATTTTAGCTGAGGCAAAACATGAACTGCCAACCAAACCAACTATAAACTCCAATTCTGAAAACACACTTAACATTTTTAATGTAAAGCTCTGACTTGTATTATGAGTATGAGCCAGTGTGTGAAGCTCCTGCTGTGGTCTGGGGGAGAGTCCTGTAACTCTTTATATACTCTATTTTGCAGAAAAAGACATGATTATTTGCATTTCTACTACTCATAAACTAGTGACAGTGTTATACTCCCTGAGTACTGCTGTCTTCCCAATCTGCCTCAAGGCCACCATCATCGTTCCTGTGCCAAAGAAGTCCTCTGTGTCCTGCCTCGGTGACTACCGTCCCGTTGCACTCACACCCATCATGATGAAGTGCTTCAAGAGGCTCGTCATGAGGCTTATTAAGACCCTGCTGCCACTCCACTGACTATCGCCCCAACCGGTCAACAGAGGATGCCATTACCACCAACCTACATCTGGCCTCACCCACCTGGACAAAGACACATATGTACAAATGCTGTTCATAGATTTCAGTTTAGCGTTCAACACGATCATTTCTCAGCACCTGATTGGAAAATTGAGCCTGCTGGTCCTGCACGCCGCCCCCTGCAACTGGATCCTGGACTTTCTGATGGAGAGACCTCAGACAGTCTGGATCAGTAACAGCATCTCCAACACCACAACACTGAGCACTGGAGCCCTTCAGGGCTATGTGCTCAGCCCACTGCTGTTCACTCTGCTGACTCACGACTGTGCAGCAATGCACAGTTTGAACCACATCATCAAGTCTGCTGATGACATGACTGTGCTGTGACTCATCAGCAAGAAAGACGAGTCAGCATACAGAGAGGAGGTGCAACAGCTAATGGACTGGTGTAGAGTCAACAACCTGTCTCTGAATGTGGACAGAACAAAAGAGATGATTGTTGACTTCAGGAGAGCACAGAGATATCACTGTCCACTTAACATCGTTGGATCCTCTGTGGAGCTCATTGAGAGCGCCAAATTCCTTGGTGTTCACAGAATACCAAAGCAGAGAACCTGTCCTGGTCCCCCAAAACCAGCTCAATAGCTACGAAAGCCCAATAGCGTCTCTACTTCCTGCAAAAGCTGAGAAAAGCCCATCTCCCACTAACCCCTTCTCACCTCTCTTCCCTCTATCACTGACACCCGCTCCATCCACAAAGCCGCCATTGTGGAGGACCGCACACACCCCTCACACACACTCTTCATCCTGCTGGCTTCTGGCAAAAGGTACCAGAGCATTCAGGCCCTCGATGCCAAACTGTGAAACAGTTCCTTCCCCCAAACTGTCAGACACATGAACACTCAGGTTCTGGACTGACACAAACACACATACCTTCATTCATGTCACTGGCTCAAAAACGTATCTGCATGAACACACACACATTCATACATCCCATTACTTCAAGTACTTTTTGCACAACCCATTGTTGCACTTTTCTGCTGCACTGTTGTGTGTCTCTATCGTTCAATGTTTGAACACTTGCACTTCATGTAGTTCTGTGTGGACTGTCTATTATATGTAGCACCATTGTCTTGGAGGAACGCTGTCTTGTTTCACTGTGTACTGTACCACTGTACATGGCTGAAATGACTACATAGCCACTTGATTTGACTTAACTTAATTTTATCTTCATTAACTAATGTGTTAAACAACTAATTGAGTTCTTCTTCTTCCACCTGCTCCCTTTAGAGGTGACCTCAATCTCACCCCATCCCTTGCATCCTCCTCTGTCCCATCAACTTTCTTCATGTCCTCCTTCATAACATCCATGAATCTTCTCTGTCTTCCTCTTTTTTTATTTCCTAGCAGTTCCATATTTAACATATGTCCAAATGATCTGAAATGTACCTCTCGTACTTTTTTCTCAAACCGCTCAACCTGAGCTGTCCCTCAGATGTATTCATTTCTATTCACCTGAGTTGGCTCAGGTGAATAGAAATGACTTTGGTGCTGGGCTGGTGAAAAGGGACTTTTTGGAAAATAACTGTAATGTATTCACAACATTATTTTGCAGCGTCGCTGACACAGTGCCTAATCTTACGTCTTTGTGTTAGTATTACACAATGCTGTTAGTACTACACACGTAAAGCAGCTGTAAGAGACCAGCACCAGACCACCACCAAACAACTTTTCTTTGTAGGGTAAACTTCTCAGGATGAGGCCAGAAAGTGTAGACAACTAAGTAAAAGTAATTAAACTCAAAAACTCTAAAATTTAAGCTATATAAGCCACTTAAAATACGTATGGACACTGTTTGCACTCACAAATTAACATGATCTAACTCATAACAGAAACACCAGTAATCTGGACAGATAAGGTGGTAGCCCCCCTTTTTGGCACATAAGTTCCTCCTTTTTGTCCTCTCTTTCTTTACATCCTCCTAATAATCATTCATACTTATATATATATTGACCTCTATGGCAGAGTGAGAGCCACATAGGCAGTTAGAGTAAACCAGGCCCTTTACCTGTCACCTGCATATGTTTTCTATGTCAGTGAATGATCAAATATTCAAATTTCTTGTGCCCCTCTACCCCCCACACAAACACTTTGGAAAATTCTTTAATCACCCCGATCTACGTAAACTTTAAATTAAGAATCAAGTCAGAATAATAATGAAAACGTCCTCATGTCAACTGAATTATCATTTTATTGCAGAGAACATGAACTACAGTGCACACACAGCCCATAAGGGGCATTTACAGCTTATGCAACCAGCGCAGCGTCATCTGTCAGATTAACACAGCTCGTTCCACCTGCTGTACCGTAAAACTCCCAATATTTAGAGCTAAAATGTAAAACGTAAAAGCAGAGAAGCATTTATTTATTTATTTTTTATTTAATGTTTTCAGAATTGCAATGATAATACTGACTGTCCTCTGCTGTGTGTCCTTCACTTGAACAGAAGAGGTCGGGCACGCTGCGGGTTTTATGAAAGAGGTGGAAAAAAACTGAGCTTAGAAAACGGGGAGGAGCGACGGTACCACAGGCATGACAGCGAGGGAGGGAGGGAGACCGTCTCCTGTGTCCAAACACCATCTACTTATAGGCGTGATTTAACAGCGAGCTATAAGGGATATTTAGTTTGTTGATCTTGGGATGCTCGTCGCTGTGAGGCTCTGAGAAGGACTCGCCAAAGGGTTTGATAAATATTCCGGCTTAATGGCCAGCTAGCATAACAAAGCTAACTGCTGTTAGCCGCTGGAGCCGGAGAAGTGTAGAGCCGAAGAGGGAAATGGCATGAGTTCCGTCGGATAGTCCTCACAGAAGAAACGACCACTGACAAGAATCAACCTGTTAACAACATTTCGTTACCTTTCTAAATCACAGGTAAGATCCGTTAATTTGATGTGTGTCAAGATAATATAATATCGACTTATAAAGTTAGGCTAGTCTCAGCGAGCGCTGTTTGTGTGGCAGCTAGCAAGCCGTCGTTTCAAATGCTGTTAACCACTATGAGTCAGTACCAAAATCCCCATCTTTTTTTTCTTTAAAAAATATTTGTTTAATATTTTTTAACAGTGTTGAAAATTGAGGACAAAAAAGTCAGTTTTGGATTAGTTAAAACTGTGACGTTACAAATAGTTCCTTTAAGCAGAAGACCAAAACAAGCTAGAACAAAAAACAAAAACGAGTAAACCGTGAGAAGAGGCTGCTTAAAATCAGTGGGAAGCGATCAGTAAAGATGGTTGGGTACTAAACTTAACGGGCATATCGGTTACTGAAGTCTCCTAATTAGCACGTTCTGAAGTAATTGTCTTGTTTGTGTCTTTGAAGTTGCCAACAGATCCTGAAGCATGACGGTAATTATGTACTGCAGTAGCAATCGTCAAGACATGTGGTGTTTAGCAAAGGGATACTGTAGCAGTATGTATCCTGTGTGACCTAGACTGGTTATTATTAGTCTGTCCGCCCTGATCCCTTTATTAAGTAGTGCAGGGACGTTGGCTCACACCCCTCCTTGCAGACATATACCCATCAAAGCATAGCAGGAGTTATAGACATGTAGCAACACGCTGAGCAAAAACACATGAAATCCAAGGACTGATCTGTACTTTTTTTTTTTTTTAAATTTAAATTGACTCTCATGCTGTTCTCTCTGTGTTAGTGCTCTAAGTCAGGAGTGTCACACCCAGTTTGTGGGTCTCAAATGGGCCTGACAAATAACACAACAGAACTCCTGGGTCAGATTCAAACTTAAAAAACAAACAAAAACAAACTGCAACTATAAGCCCATGTGAAAGACCTCTTACCCTACTCCTCAGAAAAACAAATGCCAGATATCATTAGTTAGTACTTGTTAAATCCTTTTTTAAAAAAAATTTTTAAGCAATTTTTTTAGACAGTGGGAGAAATCTCAGGTTTTCCTCATGTCACAGCTGTAAGTTACAGTTCAAAGAAGTGGAAATACCCTGGGCTGCATATTTGATGCACCACTGCTCTAGTTGTTTACCTTACCTTGCTGTTTTGTATTTAAATGGACAGGATTTTTTTTTCCTGTATTAAAACTGAACTGGACTAAAATATATTTTTATCCATCTTGGTGATTTTCCTTTGGAACCCCAAAGCTTCTCTGTTGTGTACAAACATTTTTGATGGGTAGGGAAAACCCTGTTAGAGTGCTGTCATGTGCAGCTTTGACCCAAGCTTCTGCAGCTGACGTTAGCATAGTTATACTCCTGTAGTTTGCAGTGATAAGCCATTGCAGCAGCACTGCTTATGTGATA